AGCGCCCGCCACCACCGCTCTGCCTCGGTAAGTTCGGTCCGTGCCTTAAAGCCCTTATCACTTGCACCCAGACCGGTGATTTTCAAAGCGCTGGCACAGCCCTGTGAGGGACATTATTTAAAAATTAGCCGCCAGTTACCAATTTCTGTACAGATAACACCATGACTTCCAACTGCTAAAAAAAAAAAATCATAACTCATTACTTTTTTATTTATTATTTTTAAAATTTTTTGCCAGCTCACTGGCTGTCACTGCAACCAAAATGTAAATCAAGTCTTAAATGGAGTCTTCTGTTAATTCTGAGCCGGTTTTGGCTGCCAGAAAGACTTTAAATTAATCCTTTTTCCAACATAGAGAAATAAATGCTCAGAGCTGTACAAGTACCTCCTTCACTGCAGTTCCAGAGTTGATTATATACAGCATTACTCGGTGCTACACAGTACCCCCACAACACAGCATTCCTCCACAGTTCCAAGACATGCAAATTATCTGTACCTTTTTCTGCAAAAGCATACCATTAGCCCATGTGATTTGCCTAGTCACCTACTTCCAGCTCGGCTTCTACTCTAACTTACAACCTACAGTTTCTCTTACGTGTTCTCACATTGCTGCTCTATAATGGAGCTGCTTCTTTAACAGCAGCGACACTTTTCCTCCACCATTACAGGCCTCTCAACCACCGAAAAATAACCCACCAGTCAAGTATCAAAGAAAACGGTGAAAAATCCACACCTTAGAAGAAACTTCAATTTTTCAGGATGTCACATTTACACATGGAAAAGTCAGTATCCTGGTAAGCAAAATGAAATAAACACAACAGTGGCAACTTGTAAAAGCGTACATAAACTGAGCTATCGAGTTGATGTAGAAATCCCCTGAGCTGACAGTTAAGGACTTTCTTCAGTCTTTATGACAAAATAAATCACAAGAACAGATAAGGCATGAATTATACCATCAGTTTATACTAGCTGTAACAGTACGTACTGCGAGACAAACTTTTACCATGCAATAACGAGCACAACCACCTTCAATTCCATACAGCAGAAACTAGCTACTTTCACTTAACCTAAGAATGTGGCCTCGCCAGTCCTTGGCATCAAGGACCCGAGATTTGTATGTGAAGTTACCACTTGCGTTATGGTTGACTGGGTAGTTGTGAAGCGCTGCTCTCCGTTTCAGCTGCTACTCGCACCTTCCTCACAAGTCACTTGCACCAGCCAGGCATATGTACAGTCTTAGATTACGCTTTGGAGCTGGGCCTGCCCAGTTCTTCAAGGAAATCTTTCTTCTAGAGGTTTCCGATTCATGTTTAAGTATTTGAAGGCATCTTCTTATAAACTCGGCTTTCATCCCAGACAGCGCTGCAGAAGTGGGAACTGTATCTCGGATGGAAAAGCATCTCTCGTTGAATACAATCGGATACACGGCACAGTAGGCTGCTTGTTTCCTTCACCTGGGAAGCAGCAGTAGCCATGTCAGGGGTGGTCAGCGTCAAACCTTCTGCTTAATATTTATTGATGCCAAAGATTCGAACGCCGTGCAACTGTGGCAGCTTGGGGATAAGCACGGTCAGGAGAGAGGTTGTGTTGAGGATAAAGTGTGTTGGATCATACTTTGTGTAGAAACTCGCCAGGAAGTACCTGCAGGAGAAAACAGAGCAAGCTTAGCTGATGACACCCTTGTCTAAAAAATAAACAAAGCACAACTGAAAAAAGTGCTTTAGTAATCAGTAGTATTTTACTGCTTAAGAACTGATCTATTCCTGTATTAAATATCTCGCCTGAGGTTCTAGAATATCTACAGTAAAGTGATGGACTAAGTCTCTTCCCATACTTCCCAAGGTGCTAAAAAGCACCTCCCAGCTAGTGTTTTCCTCCAGCACTTCTCCCCGCCCCTCAAGCCGGAGTCTCTTGACTTCTGCAGCTACAAGCCTGATTTATGATACACTTTTAAATAGTGTAAGATCTGTTACCAAAATATTCACAGTTCTGCTACCCTAGCAAGCTCAATGACCAAGCATTTGACATTTTTCAGTGCAAAAATCATTTATGCTGAGCACATCTGTGACTGGCATGACTTCAAAATGCTTCCTATCTGCCAGATGTTTCCAGCATGTTTTTATTTTAAGGTAGTCCACAACCTGTTTGACTGCAAGAATAAGGAAACGTGCCTCAGAAAATCCAATTCACTACTAACTTTTTTACACTTTGAGCCAATACTTTCATCTTGTTATTTGCAAAAACTAGTCACTGAAACGAGGCTATCAGATTGTTGGGTTTTGGGGTTTTCTTCCCAGCAAAACAGAGATGTTTATTCAGCTACTTATGCATTATTAGTAAAGTGCTACAAATACAAGTGGAAAGTGGGAAGTTTGAAGAAAGAGGATTTTTTGAGGAGTTATATATATTTTTTCAGTTTCTATCCTTTGAGAACAGACTTTATAAAAATGACACAGGATTTTATCAGCCCGCCACCATGCAAGTGTCAACTTCCTTCAGGGAAAACCAGACTTTTTAGACTTGGATATTAAATATGCATCTGATTTCCTTTAGTTACACAACCATACCTTTGTTAACAGAGACAGGCAGTGTAGAATTTCTAATCTATTTACGTAACTAGTGTAAACAGAAGACAATCTATACAAAGCAAAACCGACATGCAAAATCCTGGACCCTATTCAGTGATGACTGCCACAGTCCTCGTACCTCCCAACTTGCAAAATGGTTAAGAAATGCTGCCATGTGCTAAAGGCAATTAGTTTAGATTTTCAGTATTTATGACTTCACAGCCTCTTGAAGAAATTCAAGAGTTAACAGTAAGTTTTCCTCCCAAAGTTTCTGATCTTTAAAACCTGCCCCATTAAAAACTGTTTACAAACTTCGACTTCAGTATGTGAACTGGAGTGTCAGGAGCTGCAGGAAGACTGTTGATGATACAGCCTGTAAATATGTACTCCCTACCTCGCTGATACAGAAACAAACAAGAAAAAAAAAAAAAAAAAAAAAAAGAGATAAAATGCTCTTAGAATGTAAATTTCAACACATTTTGTTGCAGCTTTTGAAATAATGGGTTTATGATTCAATTAATCCATAATATAGTTTTGAACTCACAGAATTATAGGAGAGATTGTGAAGAATTTTCTTGAGGATGTAAATTGTACTCCATAATCCAGTTGTTCCCAGTGTGTTAGTAGCCTAGCCTTCCCCTGATCGGGTGTTTCAAAAGGAGTCCCCTTTACTGCATGTAAAAACACATACATTCCCTGGGAAAAATAAAAAGAGAATACAGTGGTACTTTTAGCTATATTTTTTTTATAATTGTTACATTGTTCAATGCATTGTAAAAACAGAGAGTAAATGAAGTCTCACCCAGAAGAGCTGCTAACCTGTAATGACAAATTATCAAAGAGAAAGGAAGAGACAAGAAGCAATTCGCCTGAGGTTGTGTAGTCAGTGGCACAGTCAGAATTAAAGCCAAAGTCTCTGTGACATCCGATCCACTGCCTCATCTTCTACATTAGATGGCAAAAATTGCATGAAGTAACATAATTTTAAGGAGCTCTCTAACAAGTTCAGGGCTGACAATTTATATCATCCCTTTCCTAACACAGTGTTGAGTTATGAGGTAGAGTCTTCACAAAGCAAAAATCTACGAATACTGGCAATATTACAAGAACTTTTGAAAGATTTCTCAGCCCCCTCACCAGCTTCAAATACTTGGAAGCTGACTACCAGCAACCTGCTGAATACCATCTGTCCACCTCTTTGCTGCTTCTGCATAACCACACTGGACTGTCTTTGTGATTGTTTCTGTTCGATGGGAGCATGCCATATCTGGTCTGTTCTGAAAAATCAGTCTGGGACCACTGACTTCAGATGGGGGAGGCCGCCCTCTTCCAGCTTTAACAAACATTTACGTTCTATCAAAGTGAGCACACCAACTCCAAGCAAGAGTCTTTATCAGAAAATACCAAAGACTTCTTTCTCTTTCTTTCAGGTTCTTTCTTATGCACATACAGAAATTGTTATAGAAAGCTTTATATAGAAATATCAAATTTCTTCCAAATTCTTATAAAGGAGGTGAAATTTGAGCAAGTCACTTCACATTTTCTTCCACATTTTTTTTTGGAACAGCCCCCTGATCAGAGGCCTGTTAACCTAAGAGAATTAATTTGCTTAATTAATTCTTTGATTCATGATGTTTACAGCATCTCAGGTTTAATAACTTAACCAAAAAGGCACTGTTAGGACAGATCCAAATGCCTACTATGCATTTTATTTCACACTGGTACTTGCAGAAAGGACCACTAAAAATGCTTTCAAGGTCAGCAAAGAGTTTTCCATTAGTGGGAATCCAAGATTTTGTTTGTCAAACCATTGAATCATCTTGTTTCCAAAAAAGTGCCATTTAAATGCTGAAATAGCCAAAAGCGCAGTTTACACTTATCTTCTAGTGCTCCACTTGCCAGTGAATGCTTTCACCCCTGCTGTCATTGTAGCTACTTGCCATGAATTTGGTAAGGCATTTGGGAAAGAATTAGTAATACTTGTCTCTGCCAGCATCTTCCAAAGTCAGGCATGTCTGATGCTGTCGAAGATAATTATGAAACGCAATCCCACTATTAGTTTTAAACTTATCTATAAAAAGCTCGAATGAAAAAAAAAAAATTATTTTTTTTTTTTACAGAATTCAAGAGGGTTTTATCCAACCTCAGTCTTTAAGTGAACTGTCATTTTCCTAAATAAGGAAGAAGCTATGTTTTTGTCAAGAATTCTTTGCTGTTAATCTTGGAAAGCTGAGTTAGCAAACCTCAAGTATGATGTAAATTGCTGGATTATGGCCCTCTTTTTTGTAAGCTTGGCAGACCAATATACATACTTTCAGTAGTTTAAATGAAGAAAAGTGTTGGCAGCAGGTCAAGGGAGGTTCTCCTCCCCCTCTACTCTGCACTGGTGAGGCCACATCTGCAGTACTGTGTCCAGTTCTGGGCCTCACAGTTCAAGAGGGACAGGGAGCTACTAGGGAGAGTCCAGCGGAGGGCTGCAAAGATGACGAGGGGACTGGAGCATCTCTTCTACAAGGAAAGGCTGAGAGACCTGGGGCTCTTTAGCCTGAAGAAGAGAAGACTGAGAGGGGACCTTATCAATGCTTATAAATGTCTACAGGGCAGGCGTCAAGAGGATGGGTCTAGGCTCTTCTCAGTGGTACCCAGCAACAGGACAAGCGGCAACGGGCACAAGCTGGAGCACAGGAAGTTCCACCTGAACATGAGGAAAAACTTCTTTACGTTAAGGGTGACAGAGCACTGGAACAGACTGCCCAGAGAGGTTGTGGGGTCTCCTTCCCTGGAGATGTTCAAAACCCGCCTGGACATAGTCCTGTCTGACCTGCTGATGGTGAACCTGGTTTAGCAGGGGAGTTGGACTGGATGATCTCCAGAGGTGCCTTCCAACCCCTGCCATTCTCTGATTCTGTGATGACAACATTATAGCATCCTGCGGAGAGGAGGCAGAAAGATTCTTAAGGTCTTCAGCTTCCAAATCCTTTTGCATACAAAAGTCATCACACAAATCGCCACCCACTGAATAACAAATGATTTGAGGGCTTGGGTCAGGGTAGTCCAGTTTTTCCCACTGCTTCAAGGAAGATTCTTCTTATGTCATGTATAGTGACAAAGTTGTATGCTGAAATAATTTTGAGCTAAAATTTTTGGGGCTTGAGCAGAAATCAAAGCAAGAAGAAAAAGAACACATATGTTTCTGTCCAAGGAAACAGGTAAAGTGCTAAAATAAAACATTTTGGGATACTAACAGATTTATCTAAGAAACATTAGTAGATAATATCCAAGAATCAAAAATGTGATATATTTTATGGATTCAGCACAGCTCTCTAATAATATACAAACACTGTAAAAGTTTGTTGGCGTGATGATTTTATGTTTGCAAGACTCTAGCACAATTAAATTCCTTTTAAAAGAATACATAAACTATGTAAGTAATATTCCACGTCTTTTGTGCTTAAACCCAAAGTGATTACCTGTCACTCTTCCTCCCAAAACCAGCCAACTTGTTTAACAGTGGATAAGCCAAGCAGAGGTGGTGTTTTGGCCAGCTGGATTTCATTATCCATACAGCCTGGCTATTTTTCTCTTCTCCTGCTACTAAAACCAAATACGTATAAACTACTTTTCAAATTTTGTTACAAGAGAGGGTACTTACCAGGTTATGAATCACATTTGTTAAAGTCCAGGCAACAGGGACACTAAAGAAAGGAATGCTGAGCAAGACAATGTGCAGCATGCCAACTCCAAGTGCATACGTCAGCCACATTCCACGACTGTTCATCACCCGTGTGTTTGGATTTACCTCGCTGTGGGCAACTCCTACATTCATTTTTACCCTATAAAACAGATCTGTTTGAAAATTGAGACTACTGTTATAGAGATAACACAGGCAATATTTGAATTTGGGAAAAGGCTGTTTTGAATAAGCAGGTCTGGAAGGAACATAGTGCATAAGCCAAGATGTACCTCAAGATCTTCAAAGTATGGTTTATAGAGAAGTCAGTACAAAGGGGCTCTTGAGTACTGTTTGTTTAGAAAAAGCCTAAACAAATAAAACCCACAAGCCACTACAGAAGTAACATTTAAATAAAACAGTAACCTGAGCTGTTAGAAGCTGAAGTTGCAAACCTGTAAGAAACCAAACTTTGTAACTTTTGTCCTCTAAATTCTTTTCTCCATCCCCAACAATATCTTCAGTTCTTTTCCGCTTCCCATATCAGACATTTTCCTCCCATTTCTTTCTCATGTAATTGCTAGTGAAGAATCCTGCATATACCAATTGCCCAGCCACCTACTGCTAGAATGAACAAACAAGGACTAATTTATGCCTCCTTTTCTTGCAGCAGAGTGCAGATTTCAGATTTTCCTCCTCTCCCCATCTGTTGTTTGCAGACAGACATTTCCATCTTTCAAATCTGGCTGAAATTAGCCAACAGGTTCAGAAGCTTTCTAAGTGACAGTCATACGCAGAGATACACAGAACAATTTCATAACGCTGATTTCTTCAGGAGATTGGCAGAACTTACTCAAGGTGACACTCTTGTCCTATTGTACTAAAATGTGTAATGACGATTAAAAAAAAAATTCAATGCGTACTTTGTACTCATGTGAGACTATTTATATTCACTTATGGGATTGCGATGGAGACTTCTTAACTTCCTTCTAAATCGCTCTACAAAAGCATTGTTTAACCAGCAAAAATAGTTTGCTTTTCATGGTAAGTTTGTTTCTTATACTTGCTTAGTGCTGTAAAGCAGTGTAATACTTAATTATTTTACAATATCAACAGTAGGCTGCAGAATAAAAATGGATGCGATGAACCTGAAACTAAACCGGGGCAGTACTGATTTTAATCAATATTTCTTGCAAACTATTTCAAAACGTGGCCAGGGAATAGTACCTGAGCTAGGTGAAGTGTGATCGTTCCTCCCGCCCTGGGATGCGGCACCGCCGGTGAGCGAGTACCTAGGCACACACCTTGACACAACCTACCATCTCTTCCTGTATTTCCCTCATGTTTCTTGTCTCGTCAGACAAGAGACCTCATCAGACAAGACCTCCTCGCAGCCCGCTGTATCCCCGTGTTTCCTCTCGCTCCGCCAGATGCCCAGCTGCACGGGAGAAGCGGGATGCTCTCCCCACAGGCC